TACTCAGCTGAGTCATGTGAACTAATAACTTCACTATAGCTTTGAGGTTCATCTATTGTATCCTTACTCATGGGAGAATAATTGTCTTTATTCATAAACACATAAAATTCTTCCAAAGTAGTAGGTAGGGCTCTAGTTCTGTTCGGTCTATCTGATATATTAGGTTCAATTGAATCATTCTCACCAATTGTAGAGGAAGACAAAGAAATAGGGTCATCGAGACCCTTATCTTTATCAATTTCGTGTAAGTCAATAGGCTTACTTAAAGTACGTTCATCATCTATATGTTTTAAGAAATGAGCATCACGGCTCTCTAATAAGGATCTAGTATCATGCTTATAGAATCTATAGCCCTTAGAATTTTCTGAATAACCTATAAAAGAGCATTTGATAGTTTTACTTTGTAGTTTATCTCTATTTTGTGGTGGTATAAGCACATGTGCCCAAGAACCCCAAACTTTCAAAATAGTAAAATCAGGTTTCCTACCAATCTATAATTCATATGGGGTCAAATCTATGGATTTAGTTGGAATATGATTAATGATATACATTGCAGTTTTAAGAGTCTAACCCAAAAATGAGATGATAAAACTGAATGGCTAATCATTGACCTAATCATGTCCATTAGAGTTCTATTTCTTCTTTCAGCTACACCATTTTGTTGTGGTGTATATGGTATGGTGGTTTGGTGAATTATACCATGCTCCTTACAAAATTCGATAAATAAGTCGGAGCAATATTCACCTCCCCTATCTGTTCGAAGAATTTTAATGTCTCCCTAGCTGGTTTTCTACCTCAGCTTTATATTCTTTAAATGTCTCTAATGCACATGACTTTCTACTAATTAAGTATACATATCCATAACGAGAGTAATCATCTATAAATGTTATGAAATGCATCATCCCTCTATGTGTTTTTACATTTAATGGGCCACATATATCAGAGTGAACGATATTAAGTAAGTCAGACAACTTTTTCCTTTAGGAAAAGTCTTCTAAGTTAATTTACCAGAAATACATGGCTCACATGTTTTGGACACAATTTCTCCTAAGTTGGGAAGCAAACATCTTTTAACCATTTGATTCATTTTATCTTTATTTATATGTCCTAATCTTAAGTGCCATAAATATGAATCATCCATACAAACGAACATCAAAAGATGCATAAATATAACTAGAATAAGATGAACTTTCATTCATGTTCAATTGGTACAAATTGTCAACTTTAGTACCATACACTAATGTTCAAGAATGTTTACCAATGGTAACCCGACCAGACTTGAACCTTATTTCATAACCCTTGTTGTCTAGCTTAGGAATAGAAATCAAATTGCGCCTCATATTGGGCGCATACAAAATATCAATCAATAGGAGATTCGTTCCTCCTAGTAAACACAGCTTAAAAGTATCGACACCAAGTACATAGCAGTAGGTGTCATTTCCATATAAATCCACTAGTTACCGGCCACAATCTCCTTCAACTATGTGAATCCGTACTTGGTCCTCAAGACATGTCGAGTGGAGGCTGAGTCGACCCACCAATTCCTCACGTCATGGTCGACAACTATTGATTCTAAGATTATGCAGATCAAGTCTATTTTTATTTTGATTACTATTAGTATTTCAAGCATTGTTATTATTCTGGCTCTTATTTTTAATTTTCAGCTTAGGCCAATTAAACTTAATGTCCAATTTCTTTACAATAAAAACATTAAACATGTCTTGTCAGCCTTATTCTTTTGATTTTTAAAATTTCTCCCCTTTCCCATATACTTTTTATTATTATTGTTCTGATTATTGTAAGGTTTCTTGGGAATATGAGAAGATGAACTTTGGGCAAAGTGAAGCTCATTTGACTTCTTCTTCATTCTTCTCTCAACTTCAATACTGAGGTATTGTTATCCCTTGTGCTGAGTGGTTCAATGCAATTACAACAGGCTCCCAAGATGGAAAGAGACTGTCAAGGACAATGGACACTTGCATGCGATCAGGGACTGGATTCCCAGCAACAGCAAGGCCCTTTGAGAGTACTGTCATTTTGTTGACATGCTCGATCACTGAATCTGATTCCTTCATTCTGCAAGAATTATATTTTTCTAATAATAATTGCACATAGGTCTCAAAAGTGGTCCCTTACTTTTCAAATAGGGCACCCATCATACTTTGAGTTGTGGTGTGGTCCTCAAAGAATCTAATTACATCATCATCCATAAAACTCAACATTGTGGTCCTAGCTACTTTATCATCTTCTAACCATTTTTCAAATCACCTTCGTGCTTGACCATTAGTATTAGGCTCTAAAACTGGTGGTTTTGTATCTAGAACATAATCCACCCTATCTTGGAAGAGAATGTATCCAATTTTTCTTTTCCACATAGAAAAATTAGTTCCATTAAGTTTGCAAGTTTTGATATTTCTGCCATCACTAGCCTAGATGTCATTTTAAGTTTTAGATTTGCCTTAGAGCTCAAAAAATTTAATTGTGCTTGAGAAAGGGTTGTCTGCTAGGCAAATCAATAGGTTGCCGACTCTTTATGGGCTGCAACCTCAAAGAAAAATTCCCTTGAACAATTTGTGTGCACACTGGTATGATGTAAGAGCCTAGATAAAAATAAGGCAGCAAAGTACTTTATGCAAGTTCTTGAACTATAAAGCTTAACATTCTCGAGAGAAGAAGCAAGAAAAAATATTTATATCACTATGAGAGAGTCTAATGTAATTGTTTACAACAGGCAATATTTGTTGTTCTCAACAAAATATAGACCACAATCAAGAAAATCAATTTACAAGACTAAGATCATGAGTTTTACCCACTTAAACTTCTCAAATAGAATATTTATAAAAGAAATATCCCTAAATTACCATCCAAGCATGCAAAATAAAATAATACTTTAAGGAAAAATAATAATTCAGAATTCGCCTTCCAAGACCTCTTCTTTCTCACAAAGATATAGACCCTCTTACGCGTACCGATCACGGCGAGTTACTGATACTTGTATCAGTATTTCTTCAAGTTTTGACTAAGCTTTAGATAACAAGATAAAAGAGGCTCACGATCAAATGGTAGGTAATGGCATCAATTTTACAGGTAAATAAAAAATTCAAAAAAAAAAAGGTAGAACATAGAGAAGTGAAAGAAAAGGCCAAATAGAGAGAGAAGATGGAACGACTAAGACAAAAAAAAAACAAGTCTCCTTGTCACCAAGCCTGAAGTTTGCTTGAGAATAGTTGAGAATCGGACAAAAACGAGAGGGAGAGAGAGAGAGAGGATGGAATAAAAAGTGGAATGCCCTGAAAATTCCCAAGATTGCAGTGAATTTCAGAAACAAAATTTCACCGATTTTTTTTTTTAATAATTGGCAAAGTTGTGCTTTAAGCAAGTAGAGCCACGTAGCGCATATAGTTTTGAGCCAAATTTGATTGTCAACAATGCTTGCTATTGAAACAATTCACTCAAGGAAAAAATAATATTGTTTACACAGCAGCAAGCTCAAACAATAAGGATTAAGAGATCTGTAAAATACCAGGGAAAAACTCTTTGATTCACAACTCTCTGATTCTATATGTCTTTGCGTATTTAGGTTGAAAAGTCAAATCGAAATATAGGATAACCTATGAGCACAACTTAAACAATGAAAATAATATAAAGAAAGCAAGGATCAATACATAATAATGGAACCCGATCGCTTTGATACTAGTGTTGAATCATTGAGGGGAAAAGATGAACCCACCAAAATCCCAGGTATTGAAGGCAACGTCATTAGATTGTAAATCGCAGAGAGCAAGGTTTTTCCAGAACTATTGAGAACTCTTTAAATTTTCTTTGTGTATCCATCTCCATAGCTATGAAACCCTAACCTATAGAGGAATGAGAGGAGGTCGTTCTCCAACATTCGGCTTTCCTTCGTAGAATCTTTGAGAAGGTGACCTTCTTTAACTGGGACATGGGTAGTTATTTACTATCCATTAGAAAAATATTTTCTCTCTAAAACGCCTTCTAGTGATAAACACTAAAAATACATAATATTTTTAGGAAAACTATTAATTACATTAAGAGAGAAAAATATGGCACATATCCGGCCCTCATGGCGAAGTGTGAGATGTTTGGTACGTTTGGGTGGCCATGGCGCTGTACATGTGCCATATTTTTCTCTCTTAATGTAATTAATATTTATCCTAAAAATATTATGTATTTTTAATGTTTATCACTAAAAAGTTTTTTAAAGAGAGAAAATGCTTTTTCCAATGGATAGTTGATAACTATCCATCCCCCAGATAAAGAAGACCACCTTTTCATAGATTCCAGAAAGGAAAGCCAAATGTTGGAGAACGGCCTCCTCCCATCCCTTTATAAGTTAGGGTTTCATGGCTGTAGAGAGAGATACACAAAGAAAAACTAAAGAGTTCTCAATAGTTCTAGAAAAGCCCGACTCTCTGCTATTTACAATCTAACGACATTGCCTTTAATACCTGGGATTTTGGTGGGTTCATCTCTTCCCCTCAATAGTTCAACAGATTGAACAAAAGAGATGCATGGCATATTTGCTTTGTCATGACTCATGGACAGAACAGTAATTGCAGAAACCATAATGTTGCTTGCAATTTATGGAATCTTATCATACATATCCTATTGAAAAAACAAGCGAAAAAACAATAAAACTAATACTGAACTCCAAACCAACACAACAATTACAATCCAAATCCACATGTTTTTTTAGAAAAAAGTAACAAAACTTATTTTGTTTATCTTTATGGAACCACAACACTTCAATTTTTCCTTCCAATTCACCGATGCTAAAACTAGCAGCAACATAAACTATATTAATAACGAATCCAAGTTTAACAGAAGCTCGGTATTAAAACGAAAATAAATAGAGTATCCATTAAGAGCAGAATAACTTGTGCGATTAAGAGTTATAAGAAGAAACCAAAATAACAAGAGCACAAATTGCCATGAGATAATCGATTCCAGAGAGAGTTAGAGAGGAATCAAAGCCATACCTTTGAATTATCCATTGATGGGGATAAAGAAGGCATAGAAACCACGAAGAAACCAAGGATGCAGCCTTTGTTGGGAGTGACCAAAACTTATCTGAGAGAGAGAAGGATTGTCGATAAGGCAAGAAAGTTTTAGGGTTTGGAGCCCAGCTTCATGACGAAGAGGAGAAACCAAGGAAGACATGAAAGAAGAGAGTTTTAGTCGATTGTTTTTAAAGGGAGAGAAAGCGAAGAACATTTAACAGAGAGAAAGAGAGAGAGCTCCCTTTGGCTTTATGGCCCTGAACCCCCACCAGTTTGTTTGCTTGTGGGTGCTCCAACAGAAGGGTAGAAAAGAGAAGGAAGGAGCATGGACTGCACGCCTGTAAGAGAGAGAGTTTTGTGTAGCTCTAGCGGCTAAATATTATTAGAGAGAAGTTAAATGCATGGAACAAAGAATAAGTAATATATGGGAAAGGTTTCTATACTTCTTCTATTATCTACTTCTTCTAAATAGCAAAGAGCCGAGCTTTTCCAAAACTATTGAGAACTCTTTAGTTTTTCTTTGTGTATCCCTCTCCATAGCCATGAAACCCTAACTTATAGAGGGATGGGAGGAGGCTGTTCTCCAACATTTAGCTTTCCTTCTTGGAATCTCTGAAAAGGTGGCCCTCTTTACCTGGGAGATGGATAGGTATCAACTATACATTGGAAAAAAAAAATCTTTATCGAGGGACAATAACAAGAGATAAAAGTTCCATACTGAAAACTGAAATTTCATGGTTCTCTAGAATCAGTAAACTCGAATCACCAATACATAAATATATGAATCAAGGTTGCTGTTTTTTTACATAAATTTGGGGCATCAAATATCATGAATCAATTAAATAAATTGGATTATCTTGGCTCCCATTTCAGGCCATAAAATAAATAACTAGTGTAGCTCTCTACAATGAGTAAACTCGAATCACCAATACATAAATATATAAAATCAAGGTTGCAGATTTTTTACATGCATTTAGGGCATCAAATATCATGAATCAATGAAATAAATCAAAGGATCTTGTTCACTTGTGTATGAAAAGAAATGGAACAAGAAATCATAAGACATAATAAAATCCAGGAGATTTACAACAAAGAAATATTGGGAAAGCCCCAAATTTTTTTACAGCAGATTTACAACAAAGAAAAATAAGGAAAGCCTTAAATCTTTTATAGGGATTCCTAAAAAAACCCCTCAAAGGATCCAAAAACCTAAATTACTAAGAAAAAATGGAAAAAATTGGAAAATCTGCATACAACTCACTGATGATTGAGAGGTTGTTGCTCTTGCTCGTAGGGGTTCCTCAAGCTCTTGCTCGCATAGGGTGAGAGGGAGAATAGAGGGAAGGGAGGCTCCAAGAAGATGGAGATTACAAAGAGGCAGAAGAAGAGAGACAGAGACAAATCTTCCCACAGAGAGAGAGAGAGAGAGACAACTCTGTCAGAAAGGAAGCGGCTAGGATTTCTGTCTCTCAACAGAGAATAGAGAGAGAGACAAAGAAGAGAGAGAGAGAGAGAGAGAGAGAGAGCTTTGTCAGAGAGGAAGCGGCTAGGGTTTCTGTCTTTGAGCGTCTATGGAAGGGTCTCGTGGGTTTTTCACGCCGGTGGGATGCATCAAACTTCCCCATGGAACTTCCCATTTTAACTTCCGTCCAAATCGACGAAAGTTTTTTTAAGCTTAAAATTGGGGAAGTTCTACAGTAACAGGTAACTTACCATTTTAAACTTACTAACCTATATCAAACACAGAACCGCTACAGTAACAGACAACTTCCAATTTCTGGGAAGCAACTTCTTGTTATCAAACACGCCCCTAATGTATAAAACTTTTATACTTCCCCTATCCATCCGTCCATTCTGAATGGACGTTTGCCCCAATCACAATGTCATGCCTATATATGTTTTTGACACTAAGGGCGTGTTTGATAACTGGAAGATAAATGTTCCTTGGAAATTGGAAGTTCTTCTTTGCTGAGAAAAAAGAAGTTACTGTAAGAAGTTTTGGGTTTCTGTGTTTGATAACCTGCTAGATTGTTAAAGAAGTTATGTATTTCTGTGTTTGATAAGGTGTTGGAACATTAAAGAAGTTATGGGTCTCTGTCTTTGATAATCTACTGGAATATAAGGAAGTTCTAAGTTACATAACTGGCCTTACACTGCAGTCTACACACACAAAAAAATAACGATGTAGTCTACACACACAGACAAAATACTCTTTAATCAGTTACATAACAGGTCTTACTCTGTAGTCCACACACACAGACAGAATAACTATATTATTATTATTATGTATTTATCAAACATCATTAGAAAAGACCAAAAGAGAGCATCAAACATCTAAAGCTATGTTACTATCGATATATTCATTCGTGAGGAAAATAAGTCCAATACAGCTATATGAAGGGCCAGTTTTCAACTAACAACATACTATAAACTGTATAATAGTGAGCAACATTGACATTATAATGGTGAGCAACATTGACATTTTTTTTTGGATAGTTCAGTCATATGAAAGAGTTATACAAACTTTAGAAGCAATAAACCTTTAAATATTTCACAATTACCCAATCACAATCATAACTAAAATTCACCTCAATCATCAAAGATAATCAACTTTCTCTCATTCAAACTTCATGGCAATGATTTGTTATGTTTTGCCTAGAAAAACTGTTCTATATATCCAATAGTCAGGATTAATTAAATTGAATATTGGATTCTTCAACCATTTCCTGAACTAAAATTCCACAACAAACTCAACAAATTTCCTGATTTCCTTGAGAAATGTTTTTATTTGCAAAAAATTCCAGTCAATCTATAACAAGTTTTTTTTTTTGTTCGCTGATTCTATAACTATATTCTCAATGGTCGGATAAAACCCTATGCTTGATATTGAAAAATAAAAAGTAAGCTTAATCTAAACCTATGGCAAAAAGGAAAGCAATAATGCAATTTTTTTCTTTCTTTTCTTCACAACCAACAAAAGAACTATCAATGAAGAGAAAAATACGCTAACCATGAATCAAATTTAAGCAATCTCATTGATTATCTCATTTTCAGATGATAGCAGTCACAAAAAAGAAAAAAAGAAAAAGGGAACACCAAATTGTTATAATTGTCACCTGTGTAGTAGAAGAAACCAGATGAAAAGAAGAATTGGAAAATGAGAGAACTGTGAAATTTAGCTAGCTGGAGTGGAGAGAGGAAGGCTTGAAGGGAGGGATGAGGGGCCAGGTTTTTCTACAGATAACTGTTACGAAAAAAATACAGCCAAATTATTTTTTCCCTACAGAGAATAGTTTACCAAAAAACAATATTCAGAGAAAAAACTAGATCCATTTTCACCATGTTCGGAACCTAAAGAAAAAAATCAGAGAGAGCAAAAAAAACCATGGGATAGAGAAAAAACTGAGAGAAGAAAATCAGGGGAGAAAAAAAAATCAGGTGAGAGAAAAAACTGTGATGTACCTTTGTGAGAAGGCTCGTAGACGCCAAGAGAAGGTCTCTGCTCAATGGCTAGGGCAGTCGGGGGCAAGCAAATACCATTTTCTTCGGGAGGTGTTACCCTTGAGCGAGGTACCCTTTTCAAGTTCCGTGTTTTTACACGGAATTTTTTCTGAGCCTAAAAAGAGGGAACAGATAAATTTCCTGGTAAGTTATCTTTATCTTTTTAACTTTTAAACTTACTTGTTTTTATCGAGGAAAACGTTTATATATAAGGATGCATCCTTATAATGTAGAACTAGGGATGCACCTCAAAAATCCATCGAAAAATATATTTTTAATGGTGAAAAATCCTTTGATTTATATTTCAACATCGAGACGTATGACCATGAAAAATAAAAAAAAATTAAATCTAAAAAACTTTAAGTCTAAAAAATAGTGTATTATCTATACGATCCATTTTCAAGATTTTCATAGGTCTACTTGTTTCTAACCATTTTTTAAATTTAAAATTTTATGATTAGATATAAAAATAGATTTCGAAATAATCCTAAACATATTTTATATCAAAATTATATACCATAATAAAATTTAAAAGTGCACTTTACCTTTACAGCGGCATATGCATATGTATGTCAACTGCACCCTTTTATCAAACATGAAACGAACAAGTTCCATCTTCGCGTAAGTGTCTAGTTATCAAACACATCCTAAAGTCTGGGCATCTACTCACCCGTAAAAAAATATAAAACAAAAATTTTCAATAAAATAAAATAACCAAACTGCTCCTAAAAGTTTTGGAAAATCTTGGTCATTGTATTTATAGAAAATATTTTATAATATTTTGTTTAGGTGTGCCCCATCGAGATGATGGCATGTACCGAATTTTATGTTCAAATAATTTACAATAAAATAAAATAACAGGTGTCAAATCCAGATCAAACGGTTAGTGGCTAACTTGATCTAAATTGAACAATTGGATGGGGGGAGTATATATCTTCTATACAGTAGACGAAGTATAAAAACCTTTCTCTTAATTTATTGGACATTCACTGGCTTCTATTTCTTATGGGTGTGGTTTGTATAAGGTTGAGGCCCTGGACAAATAAAGTAAGGCCCACCTTCAAATCGTACCTGAATATGTTGTTTCAGTATAAAAAATCTTTATGATGGCCTTAAAATTTATTTTCATCTAGAATTATAAAATTTAAAAATCCAAAACATTGAGCAAATCTATGAACACTTGAAAATCTTGAAAATTGATTGTCTAGATAAAGTATTACGAACTGTACTATTTTCAAAACTTGAAATTTATTTTTTCTCTATTCATACATCTAAATGTCGAAATGATCGAATTTAGGGTTTCTCAGCATCAAAATAGCCTCCTTTAGTAAATTTTTTAGGTTCACCTTAACTTGATTGTTTAGGGCCTTACCCTTATATAAACTTTTGCTCGCACCTCTTTAAGATTAGGATTGTGTTCTCTCTGCTCTCGCCCTCCCGCTCTCTAGCCCTTGGACCCCTCCTTGGAATCATGGTTAAAAACCCTTCATTGAACCTCTCATCCTTGATCTGACCTGGAAAATCAAGGACCTAGGGTCGAAAATTTTGCCAGCTGGCCTAACTGAAGGATGGGTGATGAATTGCCCGACTTGGTTTTTTACTTTGTGTGTTTTTCAAATTCTCATTAGGCCTAGCCTAGCTTGAACTGGATATGGGCTAGGGCAAGCTACCTAACCTGGGCCCTAAGGCTAGGCCTAGGCCAGAGCCCCTTTTGCTCAATCTTGCCGACCTTTTAGGGACTTGGGCCCGCATTGGCCCGGCCCATAGCTAGTACATTGCCAACCCTAATCCCTTAAAATTATTACTTGCAACAATTGACAATCCCATTAGTGCAACCCAATTCCTTATAATGGAAATCATATTGATTTAAAGCAATGTTGTCATTCGCTTCATAGTTTTCTACGGTTTGGTGAGAAAAATAAAACAATTTGGTGTTTTGGCCGATTTGGGAGAAAACTGCATATTTTTTTAAAAAATTGAATATAAATAAATTAGATATTTTTATATAAAATATATACAAATAATGAAAAAATTAAAAATAAAATAAAAAATTACTTTTATATAGTTATTTCTTTGTTGGCTAAAACGGACATAAAGCATACCCAAAAGCAAATCCAAATCTGACCAAAGCTAGCTGCCTGAAGCACCCCGAATTTGACCAAAGCATCAACACTGATTTAAAGGGACTCACCCCATTATATTAGAGAATCGGGTAAGTTATCAAGGAACTTGATCGTTTCCCACCCAATTTACTTTTTTTAATATTTTTTTGTTAAATTATTTTGAAATCATCATCGTCATTTTAGTCTTTTTCCAATTAATTAGGGTTGACTATGTTAAATTATCTTGAAATATAAAATAATATTTTAAAATAATTATTTTAAAATGAGGAGGATTATGTTAGGTTGGTAATCAGTGAAATATTTTGCCACATCTATTCCACGAATCTTGAACCAATGTTTTATGCTCATGCTGGAGGAACGTAATTCATCTAACAATCCCTAAGTAGTTGGGCTAAGACTCAAATAATGACGATGATTTTAATTATTTTTTCATCCTATGCGAGAATTGCAAACCCAGAGGGGGAATTGTCAATCCAACTTGGCCCAGTAACATGCCAATTTGCCTGTCCAAGTTTTTGAAGTCTAGTAGCTTAGTTAGGATCATTCTCTCGTCCTCTCTCCCTATCACTCCCTCTTTCTCTCTCTCTGCTCGACGGTAGCGCATTTGAATAGATGAACATTTTTCCCCTCAAAATTAGGAGCTTGAGAAAAATGGGAGTTAGGGAAGCTCAAAAATGTCTAGTCACCTTTTCTTTTACTTTGTCTTTTTGGTTTACTTAAATTTGGGAGCTTAAAAATTTGGAAATTATCATTTTTTTATTGTTCATTTTAGTTGGTAAGGCGTTGAAAATCATCTATTCAACATGAACTTTTTGTTATGAATCATCCACGGTTGCAGTTACAAAACATAGTATTAGTTGCAAAATAGACAATTCTAATGAAATGTTCTTGATTTACTTTTTCTATTTTTTTTATTTTAACATGATCATTCTTGATTCACTGGGATATTTGGATACCTGAAAATATATTGTTTGTGAAAGATATTACTGACGTAATACATTACCTGTAAATAGATTGTTACTGTTTGGGTAGTATTTAAATGTAACCTGAGAAATACATTGTTATTGTTTGGCTATGTTCGGAAGAAATATAGGAAATACATTACCAATATTTTACCAGCACGTGCCTATAAACTATCATTTCTTTCATTTTTGTCAAAAATTTCCACTAAAATGCAGAATTATCATTTTCTTCTTTTTTGTATCAAAATTTTACTAAAATATTGAATTAAAATCATCATCACACCATTCCAAAAAGATTTCTACTAATAACATTATCACCATTCCAAAAAGATTTTATAACCAGAACTTGTACCATTTTACAGTCATGACACTATTTCCTACTTATTTTAAGTGCCTTTGGCACTTATATGCAATCACATGTTTTCTAACATAACATTGGTTTCAACATGATAAGTCATTGGAACAATATGATTGGAATAACATGATTTTATTATGATGAGCCTTAATTTTATTTATTTATTATAGAAGTCTTTCAAATGTCTCTCTATATAATTTCAAATAAACAATAAATTTATGATATTAAATTCAAAATTTGAAAGGTACGAGTTGAAAAATAGGAAGAAGTTTGATTAGTAAACTAGAAGGTTTGGTAATTGTAATATAAAATTTATAAGTATTAGAGGAGACTAAAGAGGTATGTTATTTCAGTTGAGATTTTAGTAATCTCTTATAAGGATTATGTTGTAAGAAATTTTTTATTATCATTATGTTATGTAATTTATCATTAATTACTGATTTTTATTTTTATTATTTTTGTTTTTATATGACATTGATGGCTTGAGATAAGGGGACGAGCGTAAAAAGGGATGGATGACGTTATGTTGTGTGAAATTTTTTATTATGATTGTATTATGTAATTTATTATTAATTACTAATTTTATTTTTATTAATTTGTTTTTTATGATAGCTGATGCCTTCAGATAAGGGAACGAGCTGAAAAACAAAGGATCACCTAGTTTTTATGAAGAGAGAGGGTTTAGAAGATTTTTTTAATAAGGAATAGGGTAGGCAAAAATGCACGTAAAAAATTTTCATAAATTATCCGTCACTCTCATAATAGATTTCCTGATTTTTAGAAAAATCTCGTGTAATGTCTTTCCATTTCCTTATGATTAAGTATACTCAAACATTGAAAATATCATATTTTCTTGTAATCAATTGTCACGTAATAAATTTTCAAATACCCAAATGGCCTTTAACAAATTTCTCTCTCTTTTGATTAATTAGGTCTTCTTTTATGCACTGTTTGTATTTGGTACTTTTATTTGCTACGTTCTCCTCTTCCATATTTGCTACTTTTATTTGCTACGTTTACCTTGTCCTTAATAGATATTGATTTCTATAAAATTTGTTATCAATGGATCATTGCAGTGGTTGATGGGTGTAGAAAATATGATATTTAAATTATGCTTAAAAGGTTTATATATGTACTAGTTGATGCATGTATGATATGAGTGCTTCATGATGGTCTAAAGCAGCGTTTAAAAAATCGCCGAGTCGAACCGGACTCGCCCGGTTCGACTCGGAATTCACGAAAATGGTACCGGATCGGTTCAAAAACCGGGAATCGTCCGGTTCTAGAGAGAACCGGACGATTCCGCACAGTGACTCGCCGATTCACTGTGCGGAATCGGCGAGTCCGTGAAGAACACGGGTTGCACAGTGTTCTTCACGGATTTTTTTCAAA